CGGTAAAACACACAGCACAGACCGGTCCATTTCTCAGTTTTATGAAGAAAAAAGGATTTCAATAGTGAATACACACACGTATGGATTTCGAAAAATCAATTAGGACAAGGACACAGCACAAACTGGGCCATTTATTACCTTTCCAAGAAAAACAAAACAAATCGCTACCGATAAGTAGCGTCGAAATACGCACCTCGGATACCTGATGTAACGCAGGTCAGCATTCTAAGAGACTGCACTATCGCGACACCAATTATTATCATTATTATTATTACATTCTTAACGGCCCATCAATACATAAACTGTCATTAGGGCCATCAAAGAAATAACATTAAACAAACCAAAAGGTAAAAGACAAATGTTTAAAATCTTAAAATGCTACGTCATAGTCTATTATATAGACCAAAATCTTTCAGGTAACGTATAATTTTACAGATCGCGACAGTTTCCAAAAGGAATTTTATACATGTAATGTACGGTAAAACATTCTCGAGTAGACAGAAGGTCACTGTAGTCCAATAAAAAAATGTTTAATGGTGAATGGCTCGTCACATCCTTTGCACAAAGGATTATCTGCGCCTTTCAACATATATGAATGTGTAAGTTATGCATGACCCATCCGACAACGGGCAAGGACGACTTCGTCTCGGTGGTTGTCTCTATAGCCTGGAGACCATTCACCGATAACGGGCTTATAGGCGCGCAATTTGTAATTGGTATATGTATTCCATTCCTCCTGCTACTGAGCTTTTAAGATTGTATAATAATTGGTTTTAAATCGGTAAAATGAAGTTTAAAAACAACAGGTGGTAGCGATACAGCTTCCTTTGCGGCACGATCTGCTTTTTCATTGCCTGGTATTCCCATGTGCCCAGGAACCCAGCAAAAAGCAATGCGAAAGTTAAAGGCAAGTTCATGATATAGTATTAATGCATTACGAATGAAAATATTTTCGATATTTGTATTGTTAAGACTTTGTAGATCAGAGAGAGAGTCTGAATGGATAACAACTCTCATTACTTCGTTTCGTTGGATATATTCAAGGGCAAGGTAGATAGCTCGCGTTTCTGCCGAGAGTATTGAGACAACCCGGTAGTACTTCATCCATGGACTCCACTGACTCAATATCAGCATCCTGTGTGTTTTGGTTACTGAGAACAAGTCATTTAAATATTTCAACATATTTGACCCTGTGACCTTGAAATTGGGCCAAAGTCATTCATTTAAACACACTTGGTAGCCTTTTATCCAGGCATGCTGCAGGCCAAATATCAGCACTATGGGCCTTTAGTTATTGAGAGGAAGTCGGAAATGTCAATTGCTTACGACGTACGAAAGGCGATCACAATACGCCACATGAGACTTCGTCTCAATTGACCTAGAAAGTCAGATATATATATTGGCCTTGTGTATCCAGTCTTCGAAACTGTTTTGACATCATATTTATCAATCCACATCAGTCATTTACAAAAGCTGTGGACAGACAGCTGAACCCTTTCTACTTTCTCCATGAGAACAACACTGTTCACAATATTTCGCAGTATTTGATGTACTAAATAATTTAAACTGCATGCTAGTCTTTGTTAACATCGGCACGTAGTTTGCCAAAAGAAGTCCGCCAATATACTCAACAAAAAAAGAAAGGTTAACATGTTTCCTTGGCGAATACCTGTAAATGAGTGAAAACAAAATGACGTTTGTGCAATATTAGAAAATGGTAATGTTTTACATTACAAAATCCAAGGGGGTTACCAAAATCATTCAAGCGTGAAAGTCTGTATTAGCGAAAGAGCTGCACGAGGTTTTCTGCGACTAACTTGTATCTTCGCTTGAATTTCATAAACATTCAAACTGACAACTGTTCCTTAGATCCTTAGGACTTAGAAATCACCGAATCTTGCTATCTATCAACTTTATCATTATGCCCCGGCTGTCACAAGTACAGAGAGAAAGGGCTGTAGGCATGATCCAGGCTGGGGAGTCTCGCCGTCGAGTTGCACGGTATTTTGGTTGCAGTGTTAAGACGATTTGCCACTTGGTAAGTCGTTTAAACCAAACTGGGTCAACATCCGATCGTCCCCGAAGCGGCCGACCCCGTAAAACGACCGCCAGGGATGACCGTCGTATACGATTGAAACACTTTCGCAATCGATTCGTAACTCGTACCAGGCTTGTTGTGTTAAATGGCAGTTTAACCGGCATTCGATATTGGGACGAAATTTTAAGACCAGTGGTTCTGTCATTCTTAAGACGCCATGGCGTTGGCGCACACCAACGTCAGCAGAACTTTCACAGCAGAATGACGTACAGGTGCAGAACTGGCCATCTAAATCACCTGATTTGTCACCGATTGAGCATGTCTGGGACGTTCTTGGGCGACGCGTGAGAGAACGTCCAAATCAGCCGTCAAACTTGCAGGAGCTGGCTCAAGCCTTGATCGCTGAATGGAACAACATCTCTGCTCGAATTACCTGCCGGTTTACGACCTCCATGCGACGACGCTGCAATGCTGTTTACTTCGCAAACGGTGGCCATACCCGTTACTAATGGTGTTACCTTTGAAATTGACCCCAACGTCCTTTACAGTCGAATAAAATCGACTGAACGCAAAGTTTTATAATGAACCATGACTGCAGTTTTATCAGAATTTATCAATTACTTTATTCGTACATGATTGGTAAGGATTAATGAAGGGGTTAATTAATTAATCACAGAATAAAGTAGTGTTACCTTTCTTTTTTTGTTTAGTATATATATACATATATTCTATAAGTGTGAACTTGATTATTGAGCCAAACGAAACAGGACCATTGTAAAGATGAGCAGATATAACCCTTCAAGGACTGGGGAAAGAATGTGTTTGCTATATATCACTTTATGTAGTAAATGACGACAAATTGTTTGGCATTCATTGCAAGACGGGAGTGATTTCTCTGATATCTTCAGTTTCGGGGACATCGTAATGCCAATAATAGTTGTAACGCGGGACGAGCCTCAGTTCGACACTCACGGGAAAATACCACAAGAGATACTGCAATACATATATATACAAGTTTATTTACACTACATACACTAAATATAGACAATAACACACTCGCATTCACCCACTCTATCTTCCACGCCTCTAAATGTTATACTACAGTCTCTTCACACACTATGAGTCTTCACATTTCTCCGAGGAAATACAGTCACCCAGTGGTCTTTACAGGTCCCGACTCGTCGTTCACCACCTCGAGACGGTGCACAAAATGCAAACAAAATTTAGCCCACGGCTAACACAATAAATAGAACAGCATATGCCCATCAGCATCATTGGTCTCTCTCAGACCAGGATCTCCAACATCAACACTGCCTGCATAGCCCGCCTGACGCCTTGTCTGAACGTCCTGGTAGCTGACCACCGTGTTCCTGGTAGTTGCTGTTGCAACACTGGCCGGCCCCGTTGCATACCAGTCTGTTACAGGCTTAGCCTAACTTAGTTGTCTGCCCGTCGTGTGAAGCTATAATAAACATGACAAAATATCATAAACACTCACGCACATCCATACTTTAATCCAACTAAGACATTCCTTAACTAACTATATAATTTACCATCCATTCTACTTCCCTTTATAAATACTAAACCTAATTGTACATATACCCCTACAAACATATTAAATTCTAGGATGCGTGACCATTTTCTTATAATAATAATGCCAAAACGCACGTAACACCGCAACCATATATGCTACTGAGTGGCTTCCGTACTTTTTACACCTGCGCGCACAGGTAAATACAACTACTACTCAGGGCTTCCATAGATAAACTACTCGAACAAAATAACGTTATTAAGCGAAATATACGCTTAAAGGCAACTAAATTACTTGTACATATCAACACATTACTATAATACCACATAAATCCTAATTACCTTATACTGTTAATTATGACATTTAAAATCAACACACCTGTATACTATAACAGCAAATAATTACGCTCGAGTTGACACGCATCGATAGATAGATTGGTTGACCGGCAATAGGGACAATTAAAATATGGCACGAAATAGCTAACTAAAACAACAATTTATGAAAGATAGAAAGAATACTTACCCCAGTCAGATATCCGGGCTTCATCACACACGAATTATGGCTGGGAAACTAATTATAAACAGCTCTGCCAAACAATGGCCACTCCTCTCACCTGTCCAGCCCATGCACTACCCGTCTTTCTTCACACGTACACACAAACGCACACGTGACCAATTCACAATAACAAAAAGATGTGCCTGCGTTCGTGACAATAGTGTTTAATGTATTTCACTGCATGTTCTAAGAACGCAACTAAAGGTAGCCCCTTTGCTGAAACTAGATTTGCTTCCGTGCCTTCTACCAAGGGTACTTTTGAGGGAAATAAAATAGAAATGTTACTCCTATTGCAGCACTTAGTATCTTAAACTTTTCCTGTTAGCGCTTTTTTCTCCGCTTTTAAACTCTTGGTATACCTCTTGTCACCCGTCTTTATATGACCAGGTTTCGAAATATCCAGGAACGTATAATCAAGATCACTAGATCAAGTCAATGTTACAAGAGAGGAGCCTCTGAAGAAAGAGGTTAAATTTAATATCGGTATAGGTTCATTATCAATGTCATTCTGTGCCTACCAAATATTGAGATGAACTGCATTATAGATTTGTTTTTTCAGTGATGGTTAGGTCTTAAACTTTTTAAACTAAGAAGCGATTGAGGGAAACCAATCTAGGTGGAGAGTTACACTAGAATGAATGTTATGATGCAGGTAACGGCAAACCTTGCCTTCATGCAAGGAAGGTCGTCAAAAAGACGCAAACGCGTTTTCCGTTATAGCTCTAAAACGTTCAAAACATACTCAGTTTTTTTCGTTATGATTTATTTCATTTTGTTATATTTTGTTTTGCGTTTAATATTTGAAGACAAATAATATTGGTTGAATGGTTTAGTAAAAAAAAGGGGACTTGCCTGTTTGTTCTTCCAGTGAAAGACATGTTCAACAGTAGCGCCAATGTATATCATGGAAGTGTAACATGCACCATAAAGGGAATTATTTGTCAGAGGTGGGATAGCAATTATCCTCATACCCCTAGCGTATATTCTGGAAGAAGTGATCTTGGAAACAGATGTAAACTAGCAACCGGGGCCCGCCCCTGGTGTTATACAACTGATCCCGACACAAGGTGGGATTATTGTCCGGTGCTGGACATTAATTGTGGGATTCCGCCTACTTTATCGACACCATCCACCATGGTAGGTGCCGAGGTGACAATAAAGAATCCTCATATGAGCTCTGATGTGTTGGCGTGGTACCAGTGTCTCTCGCTGAGTGGAGACGAGCCTATACGAAGTTGTCCCGTGACACGATGTGAGAGCCTTGTGTGGTCGAAGGCAAACATTTCATGTTCAGGTAAATATTTCTTGTCACAGGCTTCATCTCGTGCTATTACTCTATCCTCAACACTTGACATTACATAGAAGGTAAATATAGTTTTTTTGTTTTATTTTTATTTCCCTGCCAGTGAACAGAATCCCCTCCTCCTACACACAAGAAATAATACATCAAAACACCGTTTTATTTATTGTGCTTTTTTTTACTCAGTGAAGGATTGTTATGACGCCCATAACAATTCCTATGAAGGGCAAGTATCCTGCACAGGATTGGGTATCACTTGTCAGCGATGGGACAGCAATTATCCACATTTTCACCATGCACTCCAGGGGCGTAGTGACCTTGAGAACTGGTGTCAAATGGAAGGAGAGTCGAGACCGTGGTGTTATACTACAGATCCAAGTATCAGATGGGAGTTCTGCTCAGTCATTGAATGTCCGTAAGATATGTGAGCTTTTCTGAAAATTCAATTCGGAAAAGACATGTTTTTGCAGTGTAACCTTTACCATGAGGTAGTCTTTAAGTAGTTTATGGAATTACTTACTTACATACCACCGGATATAAAGGAAGGTCGTCCGTAAATGACCATAATGGTGAAACAGTAGTTAGTTAAAGAGTATGAAACCATGTCAAATGATGTAGCAAATGACAACAAAGTACAACAGTTAAATTCTAAGATGTCCTTATCTTTGCAATTATAATTTTCTGATCGGTCCTAAAACTGCAATTTTGATAGAAAGGAAACATTTAGGTGTATTTTTGAACTCCATCAATAACGGGTCGTTCTAAAATGATCATATGTGTCAACATAAGATCTTTGAAATATATATTTTAGTTTAATTTAGTTTAGCTGTTTAGTTTTATATATTAAATCATTCTATGTAAAATCTATACGTAACTGTGTTTAAGTTTTGAAAAAGTTGAATGACAATACCATGTCTAATTCTAAATCTGGAATCACATATGCAGACATAAAAAATACACATAGAGATACATTGTTTCCGGTCTAATGAAGTCCTCGAGATTTATGCCTACAGATGTGCAACTCAAACTGGCTGATCATATGCCTACATGACGGTAGGCCAAATTTATAAAGCAGTCGACAATCGGACCTACAAAAGAAAGACAAAATTCGAATGGTATTTTCAAATACGTGACATAGGTAATATATACTGGTACAACGTTGCAGTTATCCTGATGTACAATTAAGTTTCATCATAACTAGCACAAATTCAGAGATATTTAATCCAAATTATCAGCAGACAAAAAATACTACTTATAGTCTTTTCAACTAAAATGCATGTTTTTCATACACATCCAAGTGTGTGTACTTGCAGATTTGTATGTATTACGCTTTACTATGTCAATTTAAGATTTTTCACAAACCAGACAGAATACCACATTTAACTTTCCCTAACTCATTCGGAGTTCATGACTCGTCACAGACACAACCATGGTCGAGTTTACGTCCGAAGGGAACTTATTTCCCTTTAACAAAGTACCTATCAGAAATATTCTTAACATCAGATAAGGAATTCTGCATTCTTTTGTAGAATTTCATTAAAACACTAATGTTTATTGCTACCGCCGTTTTTGTTAATTATGTATGTGTTGTGAATCGTTTCTTTGTAAATAAAATGCTTGTGAGAGCCAAAAGCAATAAAAAAGTTTTAGGCAAGTTCATGCTTTAGTATCCATGTTTTACGAATGAAAATATTGTCGACATTTCAATTGCTACGACTTTGTAGTACAGCTCTCATTACTTTGTTAGTTTGAATATGTTGAAGAGCGAGGAAGATAGCTCGCGCTTCTGCCGAGGATATTGAGGTGTTGTTGGGTATCCGGCATCAGTAGACTTCGTCTTTTGTAACCATGACCGCTGCAACCTTATTATTATCTTTTGAACCTTCAATATATACATAAGAAAATTTTCATATTTTAACTGCAATTTCGACAAGGATGAACGAAAGATGAAAATATGTCAGTATCTGATTGAACTTTTTTCATGAAGTGAAATGTTAATTTCAGATGACATCAAGAGCCAGTGTGGAAGTTCTATCGTTCCAAATGACTGAATTTGATCAATAACAGTATTTGTGTTTTGTAAAAGAGCGGAGATCCGAATTACCGAATAGTGGAATGGTCTTGTTTTCAAACAAAGTGTTATATTTTGGATCTAATACAAGTGAAAAAGCAGGATTTAAAGGATTTGTGTTTAGCTGAATTGTGAATGAGTGGATGGTGTGTGTTGAATGATAGCTCTCCTATGTGAGGGCTTTTTTAATTGTTCATATTACTTGTTTTTTTTTTCAATGAAACGTGTGAAAAAATGGTATTGTATGCAATTATAAGAAAACCTGATCAGTCCAATTTTTTTTATCGGAAGTATAGCCACCATAACATTAATCATCGGAATGTCAAACTCAACAAAAATGAAATACATATAGCCACATTCAGCAAAAAACAAGACTTCCGATATAGATCTTAATTTCCTGTGCTTGAGTTTGTTGATTAAATATTGCCTCATTTGAACAATTAGTGCTTGGGTTTATTTGTTGTGAGTTCTCGTATTAAATTCTGAAACAGGCAGTGTTGGTTGTATTGTTTGTTCAACAAGCCGAAATGCCAGATCTACGCCAGAAAGCAAGATCGACGGTTAGAGCTCAATTTGCGTTTTCATAATAAAACTGTTACAAAGTTGGTGAGAGCAGTGAACTGGTGTAACACGGCGTCAAAACGTCTACAGTTCTACATAATAATAATAATGATAATGATAATATACTTTACTTCATGAGGAATAAAGAACCTGTTTAGCAAGGTCCTCTTGTTAGTAAAACATGTTACATGCTAAATTACATGATTGTTCACATCATAATTTTAAGATTTTCCATACATTTATCACAGGTATATAATTAAGAATATCACTGAATGCACACAGGTTCGTGCAAAATGTTCTTCATCATTAAAGGGCAACTTGTTTATTATAAATACATACTAATATAATCAAGTGTAAATATTGGCATAGCTATACGCTTATATATAACACACTAGTTTCTGTTTCAGTTTTGATTTCATTTGGAAGTTTGTTCCATTCCTGACAACCAGATACACAAAAATAAAATATAACAAAATCACTGGAAAATACTGTGGTACTATACCATTTATACATTTATATGTCGTAATTGACTTTTTGAACTTAAACTATTTTTTAATTAGCATCTATTTCAAAATTTTAGACATTTCAGTTGAATAAGTATCAAATAATTTCAACAATAGAAAAAATACACAGAGAGAAACAACCCGGCGCAAGGAGCATTGCCGGCGTCACAGGTATCGCCGAAGCAATTTGCTTATCCAGCACAACCACCTCAGGTGTCGCTGGCGCAAATGACTCTTAGATCACATTTGACGTCACGTGTAAAAAAGTAAAGATGTTACTAATGATAGAAGAAAACCAAAGTCATGGTATACCGATCTTACACAAAACGGAAGGTCTCCCTAATGGATTCGCTGAACAAAAAAGTAGGTAGCGCCAGGTAACATGCAACAAGATGGCAACATTTGGATGACTAGTACTGCAATATTGGAAAAAAAACAACAATGGAGTAAATCCGAATGGCATCTGAAATAACTTCGGACTAAGTGAGCCAGAGTACATAACTCACTGCATTCACGACAGTTGTTGCAAAATACACCTGAACAAACAGTCCAACCGAAAACAAAAGTTAAACTAGCAATGTTCGACGGTTTAACATCATGAATTGACACATTTTGAAAAGTGCGCTTCTTTAAAATGCTGGTCCCACAATGAAAAAGGCATGCATCTTACAGTAAATTAACGAGCGTTTGCGCAAGGTATATCAGATAGGCAAATGATAATGCGGAAAGTTTTCATCTGCATTACAACGGTTTCCACCCATAAACGAAACATGAATATATCCATCGCTGTTTAAGATTCGTTGTTTCATGCCAAGTGAAAGTTTGATAGCGCTAGGGCAGTCATTATTAAAGTTATTAACTGGCATATCCAGGCGCCGCGCCAGAGTTGTAAGAAGTGCTAACGAAAGATTCCAAGCACAGCCACTTCACAATCTACTGCCAAGAAACAGTTGTCGACCAAATGAAGGCGAAACTTACTTCCGAGCCGATTCGGCACATCCCGACTACATTTTGAATACTGACGCCTATGATGTAATCATCGACACTGTTCTATCACAAGTGCAAGTTAAAAAAGAAAGGGCGATATTCTATGGAAATATAATACTTTCAAAGTGTGAACGACACTCCTGCGTAAAAATGCAACGGCTGTCAGCTGAAGTCCATTTGGGCAGTATTTCCGGTATCATCTCATCGGGAATAGATTTCTGATTATGATAGATTAGGGTTAAGCAGAGTTTCGTGTGATCTCTGTGTCGATAGCACCATGAGAAATGACAAAACTGGGTGAATACACGTACGTTCTACGACCACTAGGTCAAATCAATTGAGGAAGATTGCACCATCAGTCAACTAGCTGACTTGGTCCGACAGGGCATTCTCCCCGATGAGAATGATGTGAGCGGTGTACGGAGCAAGCTGAAATCTCTCTGGATATCATTCGGACGTTTTAAGTTTCATAATGGAAGTATTGCCTTTGAGTGGAAATATTCAGCAAAAAAGAAAATTGCATGGTAAGTTCTAGTACCAAGAGAGTTGTGAAAGACGGTTTTGAGCCAGGTGCACGATAGCAGGACTAGAAGCCATCTCGCATTTATAGATGTTATGCCAAAAGTACTATTGGCCTGGCTTTCAGAGAGATGTGCGCAAATGGGTCAATGGGTGAGAAAAGTGTTCAAGAGGAAAAAAGATCAGTAAAGCAATGCAGTCACCAATGCAGGTTCTACAGACTGGAATGCGTATGGAGAGCATTGCTATACATATGAGGGGACTTCTACCAAGAAATGAAAGTGGCAATCTATATATACTGGTAGTAGCTGATTACTTCACTAAGTGGATGTACGCGTTCGCGTTCCCGGATCAGAAAACCGTCTTGGCAGAAGAAATTATTAAAAGGTTTTGTATGTCATCGTCCATTCATTCAGATCAGGGAAGGCAGTGCGAAAGCGTCTTATTCACAGAAAAGTCCAGAAAGCTTGGTATCAAAAAGACTAGACCCACGGCTTATCCGCAATCACGGTATGGCGGAGAGATTTAGTAGGAAGCTAAAGAAGATGCACAGGTTATTTGTCAACGAGAACCAGAACGACTGGAAAAACCATATTACATACATAATAAGGCCACAAAGTTCATCTGTTCACAACGCTAAACTCTCTCATGCTAGGTCGAGAACTGACAATGTTTCTTGGCGTTATGACCGGATGATGACAGGTAAAACCAAAGTCAATGGGTGGCGGACACACAACCAACTTTAGAACAGGCCTACAGATAAGTCCGAGTTTTCATT